GCAACCGATCGCGTGGCGACGTGTGGTGACCGTGTGAGTGGCGCAGCGCGTCCCTGCGCTCAGGTTCACAGTTTGCAGGCAGCGATCGGGTCTCATGTTGAGTAAAACTTGAAAATATATTTATAACTAATTGCTTTAGCGGTGCTGTTAACTAAACCCGGATCAATAAGGCGTGAAAACGCCAAACGCGTCGCGAATTGGGCAGTAGCGGAGGCCCGCGTCAAGGAAGCTCACGTCAAGGAGCCGCTCAACCAGGTCGCCCTCCGGAAGCTCACCGTCTTCGGTGGCCAACCGGACCAGTTTCTCGAACCCATCGAAATCGCAAAGGGAGCGGAGCGTCCCCTCGCACCAAGACTCGGCAAGCTTGCTAACGATCTCGGCGCCGTAATTCAGATTCGCTGCGAGAAGGATACTTTTAGGGACCAGGTCGATCACAACGCGCAGCATGGCTTGGTGCACCAAATCCGTCGTGTCAAGGTACAGCCAGACCGCGTGCATCACGTAACTGTGCACGGCCGGATCAGTTTCCGTTGCGGGGCTGCACTGATCGTCGAGACCGAGGATGGCGCAAAGCAGGTTACGCACAACACTTGTGTTCCAACCTCCAAGCGCAGCAGCGAGGATTTTGGGGTCCGTGTCGGGGGTCATAGCGGGGCCAAGGTATCGGAGACTTTTGACTGCACGGTGATGAATTGCATGAGCAAACAAATGGCTCTTGTGGTTTTGAACAAAAGCGGAGCGCGGGAACTTCCTGCCGGCCAAGCGAATAAAAGTGCCAGCATTGTAGCGGCTGAGTTCCCGGATGACCAGGTCATGGTCCCCGCGCAGGGCAAGGAGCACGGCGCTCGCGCCAAGTTCATCCCAACGCCTGCCGTCAGCGACATCACCACTGCGAACCATGTAAGAAACTATCGGCGCGACTTGGGCAACGTCGCCTAGCAGGGCCGCCACCAAAAAAAGCCGTGTCGAGCTTGCACAACTCCCCTAGCGACGCAAATTGTTCGGAGCTGGCAAGATCGTCGACGGAGCAATTGATAAACTTGCCCTGGACAACATCCAAGTACGGAATCGGCTCGAGCGAGGGGTCCTCGTCGGTAAGCGCTGCAGCAAACAAGTCGTGAAACTCGAGTTCCATCAAGGCCCATGAACCATCGGAGTGAGCCACAACGATACGGATAACCTGATGCAGCGCAGCACGGCCATGAGCAGCGGCAATCTGCTCGGCTTGGCCAAATACGACTTTGAGCAGGGGCGTCAGGGTAGGCGCAATATGACAGGTCATCCGGTCGAAAGCATTGACAAGGTATCGGCGCAGAGCGGCAAAGTCGGCTTTACGCGCCGCAAGTACAATAGCTAGGCATAGTCCAGCAGACGAGTCCACGCGCGCCGAGTTAAGAAGCTGGGAGAGCACTGACACTCGCTCGCCGCGTTCGTCCAGGAGGATGGCACCGGTAGCAGGGTCGGTCAGCCACAGGTGACGCTCGTTTCGGATACACCACAAGTATCGCGCGTTGGCAAAGCGGTCCATGGGGAGGACGGAGAGACTGCGGCAAGTCGCGCGGAGACGTCCGTCGGATCGCCCGTCAAGGAACTGCTGCAGTAGCTCCAGTACGGGTTCGGGCAGGGCATCGAGCGCTGGTCGTTGCATTCGTTGCATGGAGTCGCCAATCGGCATTCTGGCTAGTTTCGTGGAACGAAGGATGCGGGTGGAGACGAAGCGTCGGCCCCAGGAGTCGTGAACGACGCGCAAAGCGTTTCCCGCTCGGAGTCGCGTGGGGCCAGCAGTGTGGCGCGGCGCGTCATCAGTCGACCTGCTCCCAACTCTGCTTGAGTCTTCGCAAAAATAATAGGATAGGATAGGTGTATTAATGAACTTTTTATAGAGCAAAACTGTTTGCCCCTTCATTAGAGACTTTACAAAACTCGCAAAACTGGCTCCTTGAGTTGAGCCCAGCGACGCACGCCTGGTGCCGCACTCGTCCGCTACTCGTAGTCGCTGTACTCCTCGTCGTCGACGGGGACCCAGCCGAATCCGGGGCCCGCGTAGATCATGCCGGGCCCAGGAGCACCGCCCATGCCACCGCCCATGCCGAACGAGCCCACGCCGCCCATGCCTAAGGACTGGGCGTGCTGCATGGCGCTGCCCGACGACATCATGCTGAACATGCGCTCAAAGTCGTTCTCGATGTACTCGTCGCGGAAATCGCCGGGGAGCTCGCCCTCGTCGAGGCCAATCGGGCAGATGCCGCCGTTGGCGCGGGTCGCGTCGAGAAGCCACTTGACCAGGTCGCCCTTGGGAAGCTTGTCGTCCTCGGTGCTGGACCGCACAAGGTCCTCGAACCCGTCAAAGTCGCGAAGCAAGCGGAGCAGGGACTCGGCCTTCGCCTCGGCGAGCACGGAGACGATATCGGTGCCGTAGGCCAAGTTCGCCGCGAGCAGCACGTCCTTCGGGGTCAGCTCGATGACCACGCGCATCGCGTCGTGGTTCAGATACCCATTCAGCTCGGTGAAGTACCGCGCGACGGCGCAGGGAACGTACGCGAACACGGCCGGGTCGATATCGAGGCCGCTCTGGTCGTCAAGACTGAGGATCGCGCGAAGCAGGTTGCGCACGACCTCGACGTTGGTTCCGTTGAGGGCGTCGACGAGAATCGCGGGGTCCATGTCGGGACTCACGACGGGGTCGAGGTAACGGAGACTCTTGACTGCGCCGTAGCGAATCGCGAGCGAAAGCAGGTGGTACTCGCGGTCGTGGCGCGTGAAGGGCGGCGGGAGGTTCATGCCGGCCGAGAAAATCACGACGCCAACGTCGTCGCGGCCAAGCTCGCGAATCAGCTGGTCCTTGTCGCCGCGCAGTGCCAGGAAGACGGCGTCCTCGCACGGCTGAGTCCAGCGACCGCCGAAAGTCGCCTTGCCGACGCGACGAACGTGAGCAATCAGCGGCTTGACCTGGGCGACGTCGCCAAGAAGGGCGGCGGCGCAAAAGACCGAGCAGAGCTTGTAGACCTCGACCAGAGAAGCCCACTAGTCCGCAGTGGAAATGTCGTCGGTCGAGCGGCCGAGGAACTTGGCCTGGGTGACGTCAAAGTGCGGGATCGGCTCGAGCGAAGTGTCCTGGTCAGTAAGCGCGGCGGCAAAGAGGTCGTAGTGCTCGAGGGCAATCGAGCTCCAGGCCGCAAACGAGTGTGCCACAAACATTCGGATGGTCGCGTGCAGCGCGGCACGGCCGTCGCGAGCGACAATCTGCTTAGCGTGATCGACGGCGGCGGCGAGGGCGCGCTTGTGGAGGTGGGCCAGGTCGTCAAAGTTTCGCTTGTGGGCCGAGGCCGTCTTGGAGCGGCCCAGGAAGCGGTTCTGGGGGTCGATGAGGAATCGGCGGAGGACAGCCAAGTCGCTGTTGCGGGCAGCGAGGCTGAGAGCCTGGCCACCGTGAGCCAGCGGGTTGATGCGCGCCGAGTCGAGCAGCAGGTTGAGGACCGAGATGCGCTCGCCGCGCTCGTCCACGCGGACGGCGTTCGTGGCGATATCCGTCACCCAGCGGTGACGCTCGTTGCGAAGGTACCAGTTGAAGCGCGCATCCGCGAAGCGATCAAGCGAGAGGACGGAGAGACTGCGGCACGTTGCGCGAAGGCGCGCGGTCGAGCGGCCGTCAAGGAACTGCTGCAGCGAAGCGCGAGCAGGCTTGGGCAGGGCATCGAGGGCCGGTTGGTGCATGTGTTGCATAGAGTCGCCTGCAAGCATGATGGCTAGTTACATGGGTTGACGAGGAGGGCGAAGAGCGGGGACGACGAGGGCGAACGAGACGAGCACGCCCGGTCGAGTGCTCCTGAGCCTGCCTTCCGATGGGTGCACGCGCTCGCTCGAGCTCTCGCGCGTCTCGTACCCTCTCCCTTCCGACTCAACCACAGGAACAGTGCATATGAAAGACAGATTGTATATTCACGCAAGTCGCTGCAAGACGACGGAGGCGTCCATCAGTAGATGCTGTTGCTGCCGATCCCTGAAGCGCCGCCCGCATCGGCGACGAGGCTGCTTCCGTGGAGATTGTCAAGCGGGCTGTCACTCGACGCGTGGAGGTTGTCGAGCGGGCGATCACTGCTGCCGTGGAGGTTGTCGAGTGGGCGGCCGCTGCTGCCATGGAGGCCGTCGAGCGGGCTCCCGCTGCTGCCCCCTTGAAGCCCACCACCGAACGAGTGGTGGTCCCCGCCCGTGAGGCTGTCAAACGAGTGATGGCTACCCCACTGGCCTCCCCACTGGGACTGAGCCTGAGACTGGAACACGTCGCCGCCCTGCGGCTGCTGCTGTCCTTGCCACTGCGACTGGATCTGGGTCGCGTCAACTGCGGTTCCCCACTCGGACTGGGTCTGAGATTGCTGCTGCTGCTGCTGAGCGCCCAGCGCGTCGTTCCATTGCGTCGGTGCCTGGGACTGCTGCTGGGTCTGAACGTCTTGGACGTGGATCGGGGTGCACTGATCCATGGAGATAGCGTAGCGGGTTTCGTGGTGAGGGTGAGGGCAAGGACAGGGCGGGGACACGGCCGCTCTTGTACGACGCTGGCACTCGACGTCCGTGCGGCAAGAATAGGGCCGGCTTGCATCGCTGCGGGGTGCGGTCAGCGTGACTGTGCCGTACTTGGAACAAGTTGCGGCGCGACGCGCTCACTCATGGGCGGCTGCGGTCAACTGCGGGCCGCAGCGCGCGTTTCAGATCGTCCGCCTGAGCGATGGAGAGGACTTCTGGGACGCGCAATGCGACGAACCGTGACGGGTCCTGCACTGCAAGACCCGCAAGCTCGCACAGCGCGATTCTTTCTCACGTTTAGAATGATTGATAGGATCACTTGCAGTTAGATCAACGCTTTGCACCACAGGCCGCGCAGTCTTTTCACGGTTGCTTGGACGACTTCTCGTTGTTCGTGCACCAAAAGATCATCCTTCCCATCCTCATGTAGCTCTCAGGACTACAAATCAAGGCAAAACGCGATGCCTACGGCACGAAAAGGGGACAGCCGGGGATCGAACCCGGGATCTTCCGCACCCAAAGCGGACACCTTACCACTTGGCCACAGTCCCTGCGACCCTTTCATTTTTCTGCTCCGCGTCAAAACCAATCCCATTTTTTCGCGGCGAACTCGTGGTTTGCTTCATATATCTCGATCCCCAAACGTAAGTGACTTTCGTCGTTGTAAGATTCGTCAGTTTAAGCCTCTAACGAGTCGATCCCGCTTGTCAACAACCGCCACGCTACATGCCGATGCCCGACCCGCGACCGCTTGTTGTCACCATCGGACGGAGAGCTCGCCGAAGCCCTCGCCATAATGTACGAGCTCCCGCTCAACGTGGCGCGGGCCAAGGATGCACTGAAGCAGTGCTTCAAAGACATCTCCTTGCACGCCTTCCAGCACAAGGTCTGCGCGTGCCTCAGGTCGTGCCGCTCATGCAAGTCGAGTGCGCAGTACGGTCTTGACGTACACGACTGACGACGGTCACAGGCCCTGCATCCTTCGCGCCTGGTCGCCGACAAGATCCAGGCCAACGTCGCGGCCGAAGTGGCGACCGCGCTCGAGTCTAACCGCACCGGCCTCGGCAATATGAACTAATCCACGCGGCGGTAGTGCCAGAAACGGTTCAGTAAGCAACGGCGCCCCCGTCCTGATCGGGCACCTGCTCCGCTACGGCCGCCGCATCGGCAGCCCACGCGCGGTCCGCACCCACAAGCTGCCGCGCAAGATTGCAAAGTAAGAGCCGAGGTTCTCCTCGGCCATGACTCCCATGACCGAGCGCCGTCTCGTTGAGCATCACACGTTCGCGCCCTGCACAAGCTCGACGTCCTCTCGTACGCCCTGTACGCGCTAAACAAGGCGCTTAGCCAGTAGTCACGATGCCGTAAGCGTTAGGAGTAAATTTGAACCCATACCATCGGGAGCGCGAGGAGGGGCGGAAGGAGGACGCGTTGCGCCACTCACGCGGCGGGCGACCAACCCCCGGCTGTTCCGAACAAGCCGGGCCGCGCGACCCGACCCGCGCAACGCGCTCGACGCTCACGACGCAGCGCACGTCTCGTCTCCGCTCCGCTCCCTCCGCCCAGCGACCCTATGCATCTCACATCGAGCACCCGCGCGACTTGCTGCATTATGTTTCGCCGCCGCGCCGCAATGCATGGCCGCCCGCCCCACTCGCGCCGTCGCAACTCTGCCTGCTCGCAGTGTGGACCGCGCACGTCGTCGTGAAACCACAGCATGGGTCCACCATCATCGCTTGCGCTCCGCCGCTCCGCTTGTCATGCGGCCGATGGTTTTATCGCGCTCCGCCGCCGCCTGGGGCCTCGTTGTGGAGCCGGTCCTTGATGCAGGACCCAGCTGCGAGATCAGGCCCCAACGCTCGACGCCCAACTCGTCGTCGCCGCCCACGTTGCTCGACGCCCTCCGCCGAACCGCACCCACATAAAACCCAGCGGCCCGCCGCCCCGTCCCCCGCAAATCTCAGCAGCAGCCCGTTGTTCCTTCCATCCTCCCTTCTCGACGGCTTCCACCGCGCTTCCACACCACCGCCACCACCACCATGACCCTCTCCTCGAGCGTGGAGCAGTACCAGTCCCCTGCGCTCGCTCTCCTCGCGGCGCTCGCCGTCGTGTCGCTCGTGCTGTTCCGTCGCGGCGGCAAGGGCAGCAAGATCGTGGTGACGCTGCCGTCCGACAACCCGACGCACTCGCCGCGGTACCGGCACTACCGGGCCAAGGACGCGCTGTACGCGACGCCCGACCCGGCCGTCACCACGGTCCACGAGCTGCTCGTCTCGGCCGCGCGCACCAAGGGCGACCGGCCCATGCTCGGGTCGCGCAAGCTGCTGCGCGTCCACGAGGAGGAGAAGCTCGTGACCAAGGTCGTCGCCGGGAACGAGGTCAAGGAGATGAAGACGTGGCAGTTCTACGAGATGAGCGACTACCAGTGGATCACCACCCAGGAGTTCCTCGACCGCTCGCTCGAGATCGGCGCCGGGCTCGTCAAGCTCGGGTTCAATGTCGGCGACAGGGCGTGTATCTACGCCCAGACCTCGTACGTTGACGTGGATCGTCACGGTGTGTGGCGTTGGCTGACTCTTGTCGTGAATCTCTAGTGCCGAGTGGCGACTGTTCGCGCACGGTTGCTTCTCGGTCAACATGACCATCGCCACCGCCTATGACGTGCGTTTTCCGCTCCTCCACCCGCTCATCCGAGCGTCGCGCTCACACGAACTCGTCTCGTAGACCCTCGGCGAGTCCGGCCTGCTGTGGTCGCTCAACGAGCCGCAGATCCCCGTCGTGTGCATGGGCGCGCAGCTGCTGCCGACGCTGACGTGCGTCTTCGCCGAGACCACGCACCTGCACACGGTCGTGTACTTTGGCGACGCCAAGCCGGCGCACCTCGACGCGCTGCGCGCGACCGCCGCCGAGGCCGGCCGCAAGCTCGCTCTGTACACGCTCGACGAGGTCATGGCGCTCGGCGTCGCGCACCCGTGCGCCGTGCGCGCGCCCAAGGCCGACGACGTCGCGTGCATCATGTACACGAGCGGGTCGACGGGCAACCCCAAGGGCGTGATCCTGACCCACGCCAACGTCGTTGCGGCGGTGGCGGGAGTGCATGGGTCGCTCAACGGCGAGCTCACGAGCGACGATGTCATCGTTGCCTTTTTGCCTCTCGCTCACATCCTCGCCTTTGTCGTCGAAAGCTACCTCACGTGGATCGGCGCGCGCATCGGGTACAGCTCGCCCAAGACGCTGACGGGCGCGTCGATGCGCAACTGCGAGGGCGACCTGGTCACGCTCAAGCCGACCATCATCATCGGGGTTCCGTCCGTGTTCGGGCTCATTACCAAGGGCATTCTCGGCAAGGTCGCCGCGATGCCGCCGCTCGTGCAGCGCGTGTTCTGGGCCGCCTGCGCGCTCAAGAAGCTGTCGGTCTTCTCCGGCGTGCCCCTGGTCGGGTCGCTCGCGGACGCGCTCGTGCTCAACAAGGTCAAGGCGCAGGTCGGCGGGTGCGTGCGGTTCGCGCTGTCGGGCGGGGCGCCCATCGCCGAGGAGACGCAGGTGTTCCTGTCAACGGTCATCTCGCCCATGAAGCAGGGGTACGGCGGGACCGAGGGGTGCGGCATGGCCGCGCTGTACTCGTCCGAGATCGCGTTTCACACCAAGTCGATCGGCCCGCCGGTCCCGTGCTGCGAGCTCATGCTCGTCGACGTGCCCGAGGGCGGGTACCTCGCGCGCGCCGATCCGCCGCGCGGCGAGGTGTGGGTCCGCGGGCCCGCCGTCATGCGCGGCTACTTCAACCAGCCCGAGCTCACCCACGAGACGCTGACGGCCGACGGCTGGCTCATGACGGGCGACGTGGCGCAGTTCCACCCGGAGAACGGCACGCTGCAGATCATCGACCGCAAGAAGAACCTCGTCAAGCTCGCCCACGGCGAGTATATTGCCCTCGAGAAGCTCGAGGCCGTCTACGGCGACTCCAAGCTCGTCGGCCGCATCTGCGTCTACGCTGACTCGCTGCGCACCTACCCGATCGCTATCGTCCAGCCGATTCCCGCCGCCATCGAGGCCGTCGCCCGCGACGCGGGGATCGCATTCGACTCGTGGGAGCAGCTGTGTCACCAGAAGCTCATCGCCGACGCGGTCCTCTCTGACCTCAAGACGATCGCCAAGCGCAACAAGTTTGCCCCCGCCGAGATCGTCCAGGCGATCGTCCTCGCCGACGAGGAGTGGACCCCGATCAGCGGGTACCTCACGGCCGCCATGAAGCTCCAGCGCCGCACCATCCTCGAAAAGTACAAGACCGAGATCGAGAAGGCGTACAAGTGATGGTGAGATAGATTTGGGTCGTGTTTGCTCATAGATTTGCTTTGCTGGTTCATCATCGTGCGCCATCGCTCTCTCAGCGGGTAGCTGTGGCTGGCTAGGACATGATGACTACGAAGGCGATCAAGAACTTCGTTTCGTGTGGCTGAGTACGACCCATGCGCGAAGCGGTCAAGGACCGCTCTCGTTCAGGAATACAGGGCTGAGTGAGTCAGGTTTCCCAACAGCAAACAGATCCGCGTGCCTCGGCTCGCGTGATCGCGTTGCGCCACACCTTGGCTTCAGCCAGGGCAGGTTCCCTTCGCCGGGTTGGCTGCCGCAGCACCGCTTCGACGTGAACCGCATCAAAATGCGCAAGATCTCGGTCCCGCGGCGGAACCGCTGGTCGAGTGTATCGAAGCGGGTCCGCGGCGAGGTACGCTCCGAAATGCTGGCCACGCAATCGTGAGGGAGCCGCGCCACGGCCGCCGCCGTCGCCGTCTCGGTACGCTAGGACATCGGCTCTCGTGCGACCACGGTCGATGACGAGTCACGCGAAGCAGCGCAGGTGTGCACTGAGCGGTTATGGATCGCAACAGCCGCAGCTTTGGCCTATCGACGCTGCTTTTGAGGCGGCCCGGAGACATCAAGCTCTTCTTCACTAGAATTGTCCTGCTCGGTCTCTGGGTATTCACTCAGCTCGACGATCTCGCTCTTTGACCGCTACTTCATCACGCTCATGGCGTTGATCAGCTCGTTGAGGTGAGCGTCAGTTCGTGCATCGACTCGTCCGTCAACAGCACCGCGATCGGCAATCGGCTAGAGTAGAAGCGTTGTGACGATGATGATGGAAACGAGTATTGATACATGAAATCTCTTCTCAACCACGAGGAGCACGCAATCACAACAACGACCACTCTCGACATCACTCCTCGGCGGCCGCCTCACCGCCAGCCGCAGCCCCAGCGGCGGCAGCGGCCGCGGTGCCGCTCGACTTGGACTTGCGGGTCGACTTTGAAAAGTCAAAGTTGAAGCGGGACCCCTGGATGAACGAGACGTAGCCGTGCATGCGCTCCATGACGACGGGCTCCATGCTGCCGCCCGTGAGCTCAAAGACGACCTTGCGGATGTGGCCGAGCTTGAACAGCTTCATGGGTCCGCGGGCGGCCGGGTGGTTGTTGCGGGCCGAGCGCTCGGGGAGGAAGTCGAGGATCTGGCCGGGAATCCCGAGGTCCTGCATGGCCGAGGACCGGGTGATCTCGGT